TGTTTGTTTACATTATCGCTGGTCGCTGAGGGTCGGGCAGCCAGATTCGCCACGGGATGCCCCCTGTCCTTTCTATTTTTGGGCTCCAGTCGGCTAGGGGGGATTAGTGATTTCACAGATCATTTAGCCAATTACAAACATTTCGAAACTTTTCGAAAAACTAAAACTGAAACTGTTTTTTTATTCACATTGATTGGCAGCCAATATTCATTGCTTGGCTGAATTGCACAAGTGATTACATGTTAAAATAGCTTGAAAAGAGATACACATTAAATAGCACAACATTGACGATTAAAATTTAAATAGATTTAAAATTTTGTAGCTCAGGTCCATTAAAACCGAGGCGGACTATTTACAAATCTTGATTGCTGAGGCTTATTGCCTGAAACAGAAAAGGTTTCCTCAGTCGTTCAGTTCTGAACTTCGGAAAGGAGATGTGGTTTCCATTTCTCAGGGACCGCCGTGTGCTCTGGTGTCTGTCGCAGGGCATCAAAGAATGCAAAGTGTGGCTGACATGCCGCATTTGCTTGAGCAGAGTTTTTGCTGCAGTTTCCCGTCTGTCCTGGAGGGTGGAGAAGGGGGTTGTTTGAGTACTGTTGCCGTAGATGATTCTCGCCGCCCTTCTCTGTACAGCCTCAAGCGTGTTGTTCTGTTTTGTGTTACAGCCCACGTACACGACATTTGCATACTCTAACACAGGTCGTATCAGAGTCGTATACACAGTTTCCAGGTCCTCTGGTGGCATCCCGCCCTTCTTGAGCATGCGGAGAAAGTGAATACGGGTTGAGCCTTTCTTTGCCATGTGTAAGATTTGGCTGTCCCACCCAAGGCTGCGGTGACGTTTGAAGCCCAGATACGTGGCACATTCAACAACCGGGACTTCTTTGCCTCCAAGTGTGAGGGGAGGTGGAACAGGTGGATTTTTTGAAAAGCACAGTCTCAACTCATAGGACTTATCCCCGTTCATAATCATATTGTTCTTGTTCGCACAGGTGTCAAGTTGCGTAGCTTCCTCTTGCATAGTTGTGTCACGTGGTATTCGCGTGAACACACACACACCCAGACACCATTCATTAATTTAAAGAACAGTCCCAACATGCACCCAACATTCTGCAACATACATTACAATACCCGGAGGTACAAAATCTACGATTTTCCTTGTTTTTTTCTGTATCTGATTATGAAAACCACACAGTGTTTAGTTGTGTAGTTTTTGTAATCTCCAAGCAGATGCTTCGATGGCCTCTAAGACGGTATCAATTTTGCCAGGCAGTGTCCTTTGGCCAGACAGTTTTCGGATACTCTATGGCCAATTTGATACTGCCTTTGCGCCACCGATTATATTTTATCTGATAAATAGTTGTTCAACTACAGATCCCATGTCAGTCACTGACGACAAGTAGTTTGCAAATCTACCCAGTGGCTGTTTGTGTGAGTAACAGTTTTCTTGCGTATCTCATTATGCCTAACCTTCATCAACTAACGTCATTATGTCTATCACATGTACAGTAACTAAAGAGTGTACATTCAAATGGACGCACACGCGTTTAGAACTACGATTATTTGCACCAGAGATGTTAATGGTAACGTGTTTTTTTTTGTTTACGTGCTTTGCACTTTCGGAATAAATCTAAAATAAAATGATGCCTCGATATGCATGGGTGTTCTTTTATACCATGGTAATTGAGTCGCTTTGATCCGGCTTCGAGCTGGCTTGGAGCCGGATCAAAGCGAATCGACTCGGCTCGACAATTTTACCCTAGGCCCTGTTCATATGAAGTCAGTGAAGGCGCTTTACATGTGGTTCCCCTCGAAGCCGGTTTCAAGTGGCCCCATCTGAACGCTCCAAATCACATTGAAATCGATCCCAAACCACTTCTAGAGGTGGTTTCGAATCGGTTTGCCGCATCGCGATTTGCGTCTGAACGCAATGTGATTTCAATGTAACTTCACCTGGTCATGGATAACGGGGTGATATTCCTATATTTATATGCAATACCAATGTTTACGTGGCAGCGACTTAAAGAGCAGTAATGGTCAAATGATCTGTCCATTCTAGGACGAGCTTTACCGCTTCTGTCGGGATCACGTCGGCATTCGGCCGAGATACGCTGGGAGGGGGGCATCAGCGAGCAGGTCGTTGACCTCTGACATAAATAACACGCTACGTCGCGTGTTTTCATCAAACAATGAATGCAGTTTCGGAGAATCGTGATCGGGCACGGTTTAAAAGGAATGTATGGCACGTGGTCCAGATGTGAGGAATGCGAGTTACCCGAATCGCGGTTCGGGTAGTTTCATATCAGCAAGGCCCTAGTGGGAATGGGGCATTATTGAATGTTGTGATTCTCCGGGTGTGCAGCATGTCTATTTGGCCTCAGCAGGTTAATCTGCTGTAATAGCTCGTCCGCCGTTGGTCGCCTTGATGGATTAAATACCCAACATGACCTGATGATGCGGTACACCGGCAGCGGACAGTTCTGCGGCTGCTGCAGACGGACGCCTTTCCTCAGCAGCTCCAACAGTGTGCAGACGTCCGGGTGCATGGGACCGCCAGCGTAGCGCGGCTCCTCCCCAAAACTGGCGATCTCCCACAGCAACACGCCGTACGACCACACGTCACTCTCACACGTGTACACCCCGTCCCGTAACGACTCCACGGCCATCCACTTCAGCGGCAACAGCTCCTCCTCCCCGCCCTGCTCGGTGCGTTCGTACGCCGACGACATGTAGACGTCACGCGCCAGTCCGAAATCCGCGATCTTAGCTACCTTCCTGTCGCTGATGACGACGTTACGAGCCGCGATGTCCCGGTGGACGATCTTCAGACGTGCCAGCTCCGCTAACCCACAGGCCACATCAGAAGCGAAACCGAGACGCTCTAACAGTTTCCTATCCCCCGTGATCTTGCACTGTTCACGCAAAGTCCACAGGTACCGGCGTAGTTCTTCATTGCTCGCGTACTCTACCAGGATGTACTGAGGCTCCGACTTAGTCAAAACTCCATAAAGCTTCACCACGTTCGGGTGTCCCTCTTTGTCCTCGTGGATTCTCGCGAGTATGTGCATTTCTCGGCGAAAGTCGCGGAGAGCAGACGCTGTGATGCGGTCGGGCCGGATACTTTTAGCGGCGACCAAAACCTCGTAGCCTAATTCCGACACGTGAAGTCTTGCCCGTACGACATGGCCGAACTCTCCCTCCCCGATCATGTGCTCCAAGTGAACGTCCTCTTTATCTACTTCCCATGACGAAAGGGTTTCAATGACGGACGTCATTTCTAAATTCCCTGTTGGCTGTTCCGGTCCTCTTTTGCGTCGGCTAACCCGTTTAACCAGGACTCCAACTAAAATGCAACCGATTATAACAATGGTTGGAATAACGGACGCCAACACTACAACAACAACTTGGGTCTTCTTAGGAAGGAAGACGTTCTGACAAAACTCACCCGACTGTCCTTCAGCACAAATACAGCTGCCATTGACTGGATCACACAAGGCGTTGTTTTCGCAGTAACACCTCATGCTGCAGTTCCTTCCGAACGTGCCAGGGGCGCACTCGTGCTGACACCTGTCTCCGCGACGGCCGGCAGGACACAGACACCCCTCCCACCTGTCACACGTCCCTCCGTACTCACAGTCACACACCTGGCTGCAAACTTCCCCATGGTAGTTGGGTCGGCATTCGGTGGCGTTAAGTATAAAAGTCGCATTGAAATGTCGACCATCTCTAGCTTGGACCATACAAATATATTTGCCATTAGCTGATTCTAGGATCGGCTGAAAGCTGATAGAACTGTTCTGGACTGTCTTATTATTGATGGTTTTTGTGTAGTTATGTGTGTTTTCTGGTTGATAAGCCCAGGTCATATTTGCTACTTGTATGTGCGGAGCAAGGCAGGTCAAGGTCAAATTGGTAAAGATGTACTTCACGTCTGAATCGCCAGATGTCTCTGAAATAGCAACCTCGGGCCAGGGAACATCACAGGCCCTCCCTCTCCAGCCCGGACGGCACTTACAGGCACCGTTAAAGCCATGGCACCGGGCCCCGCTCTTACAAACACAGTTCTTGTCACAGTACACACCGTACCACCCCTCAGGACATCCTGTTACGTTGTACTGAAATGTAAACTCTATCAGAACTATCCCTCCGACGAACGTGGCGTTTGAGCTACATCGAAACCAGTATGGTAACGTGGACCGTATCTCATTCAACTCGAAAGCAAAGAAATAGCGGTCTATCTTGAATTTTCCACTATCTACCCACTGAGGCAAGTCGTTATCGAGAGTAGTGTCCAACAAAGTAATCCCTCCTTTACTCTTCCCCTTTCGGTCACGACATACGAATTCGACTCTACCTCTATGAGGAGGAGAATGGAGCACGGAGGAGAATATGACGTAGTCTCCACTTAACCTGCTTAAACTGATGACAAACTTTGCAGAACAATCTCCTTTTAAGTCCAAGTTAGCGGTGTTGTCTCTTGGTGCAGGGTACTGAAGATAGTCGTCGTAAGACGCAACTATTTCTCCATCAATGGTAGTATAAAATCCCTCGCTACTGAATACAGTATATTGCCCGTTCCTTTCTTTATCGAAAAGGACTGGCGTTTCACACTGTTTGTTATAGAATGGCGGGTATCCAGACACGTCTATGATTAAGATAACGAGGGTCACATACAAGACGTTCCTGTTCCCGGTGTTTGTCAGCTCCACGGTAAGGTTGTACCGCGATTGTAACCTGTAGTCCAGCGGAGCCGCTACGACCACCGCCCAGTCCTCAGCGCGAACCCCGAACCGTCCCCAATCGTCCCCCGTGGTGATGTTGGCTGACCAACACGTCCCGTTGTCGTCGTCTGCAGAACTAACCCGGCTGGCGGCAACAAGAGAATCTCTCAGCCGCACCACCGTGCTATTGACTGACGCATCCTCCGGGATTTCTGTGACATTTTCACCCGAAACTAAAAGGTCATGATAGACCTGGAAGCTATGTAAAATCTCTGCAAGCAGAAATACAGCACAGACCGTAGCACGTAGCACCATTTTCAATTTGTGTAGCTATTAGTTTTCTGGCACCACGTTTCCTTACAGTCAATATTTCCGGGTCAGTCCTTCATTTTTCTACCCACTTGAGGAAGTCACGTACTCTCACTGCTTTTTGTTCCTGTTCCCTCTTTGCTGCATGGAATCGCCTCTGCCTCATCAAACAGCGACTATAGGTAAAAGGCAAAACAACAATTGAAAGTATACTTTACAGCTCTTTGGTTACAGTTTTAGGACATACGTTTATTATTCTTATCACTGAAAGCAGTTATGAGCACCTCATTACTCCGTGAAGGAGGTCAGGACCTCCAGACGGAGTGTTGTGAAGAGCTGTTTTTTCGTGTTCGCAGTCAAAACACTGGGTTCTCTTTGTGTAATCGGCATGCAATTTTATACGCCGTCTGCGGGCATGCCCGTGTTGATGCACGAATGTGTATTTTTGCCGTTGCTGTTTTCGCGGTCAATTTAATATTTCAGATGCACCCCTACAATTAATTATGAGGCACATTGGAATGGTCCAGAAAAACCCGTTGTTTGGAATAGCGGTGGGGGGAGGTGGAACTTCATGCAGACGCGCGGAGGAGTCGATAAGTGGTACCATATGTTCGCGGTGCTGGCCGCAACTGTTGCTGAATTTTGGCCTGGAGAGTCGCGCTTGATACGTAACAGGAACGGTAAGACGGTGGGGCTGTCTTTGTTACTAGTGACACGACCATGCTAGTCCGATCTTTATGTGAATGCAATGATTGTGTGTGTGTAATTAAAATGAACTTCGAACTTGAAGCACAGTATCTTTACACGCCCTGGAAGCACTAATGGATTTAGGTCTTTTTATGTTTTATGGTTGTGACGTGCCCTCATTGTATTAACCGTTGCCTAATGGCCCCTAATGTCTGCACAGTAGGTCTGGCGTTGACGCCTGGGATTATTTTTGTTGCAAAATATAAAACTTCACGGAGGATTGTCACCTATGGCTTCTTGTTTACGATGTTAAGTTCATGCCGCCACCACCGTAGAGGACAAATACAGAACAGGACAATACTAATGTTCAATTTTAATTGAATTTAATTAGTATTAGTGTCAAAATTAGTATTGTCCTGTCAAAATTAGTATTGAGACTAGATCAACTTAAAAGTTGACCTAGTTTCATACCTTTTCGGGCTATCAAAACTAGTTCAGTGACAGTGATGGTGGGGTCGCCGAGTTTGTTTCCGAGTCATTTCATTCAAGCCTGAAGGCACAACGAAACACCTACACACCGAGAGAAGTGGATGCACACGGAAATGGTGCCTTTTTTTGAAAGACACCATTTCCGTGTGCATCCACTTCTGTTTAAAAACAGAACGTATATCCAGGCTACCATGTTGTTGTCGATGAGCGAACTATCGGTTAAGTATAGCGAGGTCGTAGATCGTACCTGGCATTCATTCGTAAGTTGGTGCGATCTATATAACGTTATACGACGTTTGTTGTTACTGAAACATCAGAGGCCATACTTGGCTAAACTCTGTGGTAGTTGTGAGACTACGAGTACGTCATAACTCACTTTTCCTCGTGGAATATGAATCTACAGACCGATGTTTGCCAGACCGATGTAGTTTACTGAGATGCGTCGTGTCCTTGGACGAGCGAGTTTCTGTTACTAACTATACAGACGACTAATTCTTCTCACACAGTATTTGCAGCTGTCGGCACATGGTTTTCATAAAGAGGTTATAACTACATGGCTACCGACTTTCTATGAGTTTCTTAAACCTTGCTCTCGGCGACAGAAAACAGCTTCTGAATTCATTCCCTAGAAATGGACAGGAATTCTTACCTGTGACAACGAAGTTTGCCATCTTGAATCTTGCAGACTAGAATGCTGATCTGTGACGTAGTCACTTCCGTCTGAAATCTCGTCCAACCTGCCTGCTAGCGCTCACCTGAGTTATACTACCAGAATGTCATTAGTGCCACTATAGACTGGGAGGGCACATGTGACGAAAGATAACTAGAAAGGTAACATTTGCAAAGCACTGAATTCATAATGTTTACCTTTGCATATGGTCTACTCTGCGCTTACTCCAACACATTTATATATGTGGTCAGACAGGAGTCTTAATCCCTCCTGGTATAAAATTGCAACATGATGAAACCCAACATTAAGTCATTGGCCTTATTTGTTTGGAGAAGAAGAAGAAACTGAGCAAAAACAATATTTCTTCCTTCGTTAAACATAAATACATGTATCAAAGACACAGGCTACTGACAGATTTTCCTACACTATTGTCAGGCTAAGCCTGTAATGGCTTACAAAAGATTGTTTCCTTTGGTATTGACATGCTTAGCCAGTCCAATAAGATTTTTTTCGTTATTGTCCTGTTAGTGAAATTTTCTTTTGACTATTGACAAAGCGGGAGGAACTACGGTCTAAGCTATTGACAAAGCCTGCCAGTTCCTGGAAGCTTTTTATTGCATGTTTATGCCTGAGGGCTAATTGCGAGGACATGAGTACTGGACATGATGTAGGACATGATGTATTGAGGAAATGTTATCATGTGCTATCATAAAGTTCTACTTCTACTAATCTAAGTTTTATCTTTACTTAAAACTAATAACATAATATAAATGTGACAGAGAGAGGATATGTAATACATAAGCAGAAAGGCTTTTTGGGGGTTGACTTCTGTGTCTCCAAAAGTCGCCACAACTAAAGGCACTAAAAGTATTATCTAACGTTTTGTATTGATATTATAGATAATGGGACGGAATGTGATGTTCATCATAACCTCAAACAGGTATGGATATCTGTATCTGTATTGCCAGTATTTAACTGTACCAAGGACATTATGTCCTTGACTGTACTGAGAGGATTGGATGATGTAGTCTAATCGTGTATTCCAGTTCCTGAAATTCTCCGCATACCTTCCACTACTCCGGCGTGTGCTGGGTCACACCTTTAATATCAATCAACTGTCAACACCACCTCCCACCCGCCACGAGACAGTTACTCTCCAAGCAGAGGTTGTGGGGGAATGATCGTTACCTTTTTATATATGGCCGTTTTTTTTCCTGATCCCCACCGTCGGTGGCCGCGGAGCTTCTCTGGCTAATGGATACTGCCTGGCCAATTTGATACTGTCTTTTTGCCACCGAGATCTGCTTGGAGATTACGAGACAGTCACTACATGGACATAAAACCTGTACCTAGCCCGTTGACCTGTGCCTAGCCCGTCGTGGCATGAATGTACAATAAAGGTATTTCATTTTTTTCAACAATAAAACTCCGTAACAAGTACAGTCAGACACCTAAAACAGTAGAGGACGTCTGTGTATTTTCCTAGTCATTGCATTTGCCTTGGTGAACAGCTGGCCAGGATGGGGATCTTCCTCATCTTTACATCACTGTTACAGCACTTCACCTTCAAGCTGCCAGAGGGCGCCCCTGAGCCTTCGTGATGTTTTAGTAACCAAGGAACTAGTTGAACGTTTACTTTGATACACAGGAACGCTTTCCTTAAATCAGGTGATGGTAATTGAATCGACCATACCACACGAGCAAAATGTATTGGAATCCATGTGTACTTCATTATAATTGTGATATCACCCATCATGTATCCTTACAGTTAATGATATGATATTAATCTTTATTGCATGTTCTTGCCCAGATGGGCTAAATGCACAAGAGGACATGCAGTATGCAAAACATGAGTATTGCATATACTGGGACGCTATATTCTAATGCTAATTGCTAGGAATTTATACATTATAACAATGCTATATACTACCTATCATCTACTGTTAGTTGCCCTTTCTTCTCTCTTTTTGAAACATTTGGAAACATAATAATTTATTACATAGTTTGTCTGCTATACATTCGTTCTTGCTTCATGAAGTGTTTGAATGTGTCCTGCTTTGACATTTCCTTGCATATCTTGTCTAAATGTAAAATATCGAATAGTTCTTGGCGTTCATCTTTATATAATGTACAGTCAAGTAGAAAGTGTATCTCGTTTTCAACATATAAATGATTACAGAATTCGCACGTTCTATCTTTCAGAGGGGTACGGCTATGCCTGCCGGATTCTATACGTAAGGGATGGTCACTAATGCGTGGAAGCTCCTTGGTTAATGTGAAGTCTGAAGTTGTCAGTAGTCCTTGTGAACACAATGCGTTATACACTTCCTGGAGGTTTGGAATCTAAGATTTCAAGAGCTACTTACTTCTTATTTAATTGGGTTACGTATTTGCTATGTTCAACTTGATGAAACAATTGTCTTTCCTTTTTATATATTGCTATTATCCAAGATACAAAATGTCATTATAATCCGTTCTAAGGGTAGCTTTCCTTTTTTAACTACTAATTTACATCGTGCATTTCCAAAAAGAGCTGCAAGGTATACGTACGTAGTGAACATTCTACAACCTCTTTTAGAAAGTAAAATGTACTTTAATATACTTATTACGTGACTGTGACACTAACTTAGGTATGATAGTTATTTTTCTGTCAAGTGAGATGAAGCAAGTCATATGAAATTCAGAGTTTTATTTTTTATTTCCTTTAAAATTCCTTGTGAGCAGGACTGAAAAATGAAAACATTTGTTGCTGACTTCTCTGGTTAGAATAAAAGATTTTCCCGCTTATGACTTATGTCATTGAATCTGACAATTAAATTACTACACTTATAGTTCTTCATTGGCTACTAACAGGGGTTTCTGCTCTTCTTAATCTAAAAGAAACTCCACACTGTATTTTGATAATGCTTATGATTCAGACCTATGTATTACTAATTCACCGTACTTGTCGTTATCCATGGGATTATTCTGTTACACTAAAAGGATCATCATTATCCCTTCCTTTGTTGATCACTAAATGTAATGTACCAGAATTTGATTTCTCAATATGCATTCATACAATGTTGTCTATTGTAGAACAATGCCTATTTCTGGAATATAACATTATCATTGCTGGAGCATGACATACACAGCTGCTGGCCTTGTAGGTTGGACCAAGATACTGCAATATTTATAAGGCCACACCAGTTAAATTTCTTGGTTAACGGATTCGCCCGCTTCATTTTTTTCTGATTTGCAAAAAAAAAAAAAAAATTCAGAATCAACTGCAAAATGCTCATATTTTGCCCTGAACAGTTGAAAACAGTCCTTTTCTTCCTAGTTGTTACAGTTATTCCATCTTTCAATGCAGTGGTATCATTAAAAGTTCAACATTCATTGTTTAAATTTTGAACCAGCCTGGTGTGTTGACTTCATGGCTCCTATCCTACCATTTTGGGCCATAATAGGATGCCTAGGCCTATTTTTATTTATTTTTATTTTGCCCGCCCGCTCCATTATTTTTCTAGAAATGTCCGTTAACCAAGAAATTAAATTGGTGTGGCCTAAGGCTTCTTAAAATGTATGTTTTACATAACTACAGTTCAAGTTTAAATACTTCTGAACTTGCAGGCAGTATAATGAATCTGTGAAAAGACAAGAGTATGCTTTTGTGATGGTTGAATAATACAGGAAGTGTGTATGTTTGGCATAAACATGTAATGATGTTAATCAAAGAAGGCTATCACTGATGAGTATAATAAAAAATGTCATATTTTAGGGGCATTTAATGTAAGCAACTAAAATACATGCTCTCATTTACTCTAATCACAATATATATTTTAGATACAGATTTTGTTCCTGTGTATGAGCATGCGGTGCTGAGTGAGTGAGTGAGTGAGTATGAGGGAGCCTCACAACTATGAAAAGACAAAAGTATGCTTTTGTGATGGTTGAATATTAGGTGTACATTTGGCAGAACCCAACACAATTGGTGATAATAGTAGGGGCACAAATGTGGGCCTCAGTGATACCTTGCACATCCAAGGAAAAAGCATAATGTTTTGCTTTAAGCATAATGGCTCTTGGTACCTTTACTAGGATTCGTTGTATCATTAACAGCTAGCATCATTCATAATAAGACTTTCTGATGTTAAGCTCTGCCAATAGGTGAATAAAAAAGTGATGACTACCCTTCCTTCATATTGCATTACTGCTATTATTCCCATGGAGAGAGCTCAGGTTTTCTCAGTATTTTCAGACAGATGTTCTTGTACTGTTGGAAGGCGTCTTCAAACCCGTCTCCTTGTACGGTGACTTTACCCAGGATGTTCCCAGAGTCGCCCGCCTGTACGATGTCGCGGTCCGGGTCCACGATAATCCTCACGTTCCCTAACCCATCCTCGATGACGCCAGCCGCAGCGTCAAAGTCTACAAGCTCCTTGGCTTTCCCCGACGCAAAAGTTTGTATGTACCCTACCAGACTGTATCTGCCCGTGGGACGTGGTACTGTTGGGCGCACACCTCGCAGGAGGTCCAACTGCAAACACACCGAATCCCCGCCCGGTAAGCAGTGTGAGTACAGCTGAGCCAAGGTCAGGGACATGCAGGCGTTGATTTCAAGCAGCTTGAAGTCTCCGTCTTTGGTGAGGAAGAATTCCAAGTGGGCTTCCTGGTTGTCAAACCCATGTCCAATCATCCTGTTCAGGACTTTGTCGTAAGCCTGCCACAAGCGAGACTGCAGCTTGTCAGAGAGACAAGATGGACTAGCAAATCCGAGGATGCACTCAGGCCTGCTTTTGAAGTACAGGTTGTCACAGATAGCCCAGTGGATGATCTCCCCATTGTAGACACATCCATCCACTGTGAAGAGTTCTCCTTGGATGTACTTTTCCACCACCGCCATGTTACTATTAGCCAGAGGGTATTTCTTGAGGTCAACATATTTCTCAATGTAGTTCCTCATTAAGCTGGAATCAAACACTTCTCTCATGACCACCTGGGTGCCAAACTTGCGCAAGTCACCTGCTGCCTGTAGCAGCTCCTCTACTGTGTTGACTTTCTTTACCCCTGTAGATCGTAAGGAAGAGGCAGGTTTTACAATAGCAGGGAGGCCAATGTCCTGTATCACTCTGAGTGCATCTTCTTTTAGGCGAGGAGAGTCCAAGTCTAAACCCTCGTGAGGTATAGGGTCAGGGTCGAGGACTTTTTGTGTGTAATACTTGTTCATACACAAGAACACTGACTCCACACTGGGACCGCGGAGATGGGGGAATTCTTGAACGAGCGCCGCGTGAACGACCGTGGCCGGTTCTGTCATGCTGAGAACCATGTCAACGTCCCCTCTTGCCTTGCACTTGTCCACATACGACAGCATGTCGCGCTGTCCGTCGGTGAAGTAGCAGCTGCCCAGGCTGTACGCGTCGTCCCAGATAAAGTTGTACAGCCCCGAGGCTGCAGCGCCCTCGGAGGAACTGCGGGTGAGCGGGCTGGCGAAGGGAACCAGGACGGTCAGGGGGCGGTCTACCATCTTTGCTCCTGCTCGGCACGTGCCTGTGGGGATGCTGCCAACACCTGAAGATTGGCAATGAAATATAAATATAAAAAATCATAGAACTGTGGAAATATGCCAAACTACTTCATGAATGGTTTTTGACAGACTGAATAAAAGGTTTATACACAGTGTAATATTGATCGAGGGTAAAAATCATAAACTGAAGTTAAAATCACCTAATTATAATATTACAGATTGTGTTATATTGTGTTTTGTTGTATTTGTATTGTGTTTTGTTGTGCATTTTGTTGTGATGTTTTGTATTCTAGTTGTATTGTGTTGTGATGTGTTGTATTTTTTATGATGTGTTGTATTGTGCATCGATGTGTTGTGGTGTATTGTATTATGATGTGCTGTATTGTGTTGTGATGTGTTGTATTGTGTTGTGATGTGTTGTATTGTGATGTGTTGTATTGTGTTGTGATGTGTTGTATTGTGTTGTGATGTGTTGAGCTGATGTGATAATTGATGTGTTGTATTGTGTTGTGATGACGTATGTTGTATTAACATATGTTGTGATGTGTTGAGTTGATGTGATATGGTGTGTTGTATTGTGTGGTGATGCCGTGTGTTGTATTGTGTTACAATGTGTTGTGATGCCATGTGTTGTGATGTGTTTTGATGACGTGTGGTGTATTGTTGTGATGTGTTTTGATGATTTGTGTTGTATTGTGTTGTGTTGTGACAACGTGCGTTGTATTGTGTTGTGATGTGTTGCAGTTGATGTGTGTTGTATTGTGTTGTGATGTGTATTAATGTGATGATGTGTGTTGTATTGTGCTATGATGTGTTGAGTTGATGTGTTTCTATAGCAGTACTGAACTGTGTTCCAAATTCTTACATCTTGAGATTCTACCCTACAGCAAATTCATCCACAAATTCTGTCAAACTGGAAACTTGATGCCTTTCCAAGTTTTGGCAATAGTGACAAAAGAGAAAAAAGTAAATAAAATAAATCCTTATTTATCATAGCCTGGGTGCCATCCTTGGTAATTTTCTGCAGAAAGAATTGTCAAATGAAGTTCAAAGCTACAAGAAGCCAAATAGTATGGCACCATGACTGCATCTACCCATCCCCATCTCTGAGGACCCTTTCCCCTTTCTCTTTCTCTCCCTTAGCCTCTACCAGGCACCGCGGATCGCTGGAAAAATAGTCGAAATTGGCCGGAATAAAGGGATAGTATACCAGAGAAGATCCCAGGCCATAGAAGATCCAATTTGTGACCCACGGATTGGATCTTCTATGGCCCGGGATCTTCTCTGGTATACTATATCCCTTTATTCTGGCCAATTTCTACTATTTTTCTAGCAATCCGCGGTGCCTGGTAGAGGCTATCTATCCCTATCTTCCCTCTTTCTCCCCCCTCTCTCCCTCCCTCGCTCTTTCTCCTTCCTTTTCTCCTATAATAACCATCTTGGGGCTATTAGTGACACATTGACACACATCTGCATGTCCCCCAGACCCCCTGGACTGCAACAATAAAACCTTTGTTTTCATGCTGTAACGAGGAGGATAGCAGATAACACCTGGCCTGATCACATGATAGTTTATTTTCACATGTCACCTACTGTTGTCTAGTAAGTTGTCTGCCTGGTAAAAGGGTAATTTGGGCATGGCTTAACGTGATAACGTTCTGTGTTCGGAATTGACTAACAATGGCTCCAAATTGAGATTTTGTGTCCACATCCAACACTACGAAGAAGAGTCCTAAACCTAAGTTACTGTTCGCCTTAAAGATCTTACAACTTTGATTACTGACACAAATCATATAACGTTATATATATTCACACACGCAATAATACCTACCTCAATGCCCATGTTTGTCTGACTATATCCTCTACAAACAACAGTGTGCTTTTTCCAACCTTTCGCGGGCCCCATTGATTTTTTCCCCGCGCCGGATCCAGAAATAAGCCCTGAGTTACTACCCACGCTCACCTGAGTTTATCCTAGACACACGGCGTGGTTCCACTGCTAGCAGCATTTTGCAAATCTCTGTAAGAATTCTACGGGGCATCCGGTTGAAAGCATCCTACTACTAGCCTAGTGTGTTGTGATATGTATGTAGATGACCCCAGATGACCCGGCATTCCGGTTGATTGCATCAGTTTACGTAGCCAATGACAAGACAACGTTGTGAAGGCGTTGTCTCATCATCAGCCAATCAGATGGCTTGTTTCGTGGGTGTAGTTGTCAGGTGGGGAAAACGTGTCACGAGACAGATCCACTGTGTCGCAGTGGCTCATTGCCTATTGTGGTTGAAATTGTAGGATTGTAGTATTCTCCAAGCAGATCCTACGGTGGCAAAACAGGAATGTTCACTAGCCTTCGGTAGCAAACATTTGATAAAGAGACAAAAACATTTATCATTACCTCCGGGGAAGGAGATATCCTTCCGCGAGGAGGTTTTACTATGGTTCGAAACATTTCTGTCAGCAGCTGTTTCTCGCGATCGGCTGGACGGATTTGTCTGTGGTTCGGTATACGTATTGCTATTGTGCTGCAGATGATGCAGAACGTTTTTGTTTAATTGCATATGTGTTTATGGGCGTCGAAATAAAAGGTTTTTAAGTGCTCCGGACACCCCCGCCATGCTGAAAATGGTAATTACCATGTTGTTAAGGAATGGGGCGGTTGCAGTTTTGGGTCTTAGCATTCAAAAGGGGTCAAACAGAGGGGTGTCTGGTTCCGATAAAAATTTTGGGTGACGGCGCAGCAATGACGGCGCCGGATGACGGCGGGGGTAATGTCGCGGGTGACGGTGCAGGCTGTCAGACTGTGAGACACGTTAATCAACAGTCCATACCGAACCAACCGTCAGTAGCCATCAAACACATACAAACATATTACGCACATAACTTTCATACTACACACAAACAAATAACCTAAACCAATAGAACACAAAAAAACCCGGAGGTTTGAAATCTACGATTTCCCTTGTTTTTGTCAAAATTGATATAAGAAAACAAGATATATCAAGATAATATGTGGACATAAAACTAGTTCCACGACCTCATACCTTCGCCAAATAATGTTAACCTTTACGATTTTGTTTTGATTACCAAGATTTTATGAGATGGATCTAAAGAAGGAGCCTTGGGTTGCAGCACACTGGACACAGCATGAACAGCCGAGAGAAACTGATCTTGCGTCAATGCTGCTGCAAAATGGAGCCACCCATGAGGTATAAAGCCCCGGTCACACTGGCCGAACTTTGCTGGAGCGTTCCTTGAACGTTGAAAAAAATTCATCACCGCTCGAAACCGCTCACTACCGTTAAACGGAAATTGGCCCCCGTTAAAGCAACGCTGTGTTCGCCCGGCCACCGCTGATGTTTCTGGAGGGGCCCTCCTACCGCTCCGAAAGTTTTGAGCTGCACAAAATATTGCGAGCGGTGAGGAGGGGGCAATTTTCCGCCCCGGCAAAGTTCACACCCGCTCCACCAACGCCCAGTCAAAGTTTGGCATCGCTAGGCGAAAGTTCGTGGACGCTTGGGTCCGCTAGGCCAACGCAGAAATCTTGAACGCTGGACCACCGCTGCTTCGCCAGCGTTGCCCGGGCGGCGATTAAACGTTGCACAAACTTCGCTGGAGCGGTTGGAAGCGTTTTACGAGCGGATACGGGGTTGCTGGAACGGTGTCGTGCGTTGAAGCAGCGATCCATGTCGGCAATGAACTTTGGTTTGGCGTTGGTATGGAGATGTCAGAGCGTTGACGAGTGTTGTCGAAATTTGGACCCCGTCCCAACCGTTAAAGGAACGCTCCAGCAAAGTTCGGCCAGTGTGACCGGGCCTTAAACCGCATGCGCAGAACGCCGCTATACCAACGCTCGCGTCACCGCTAAACCAACGCTCGCCACCGCTAAACCAACGCTAAAGCAACGCCGGCTTCAGCGGTGCACCGCTAAGCCAACGCCCGTGTTTTCATTTCCCCCCCACATTTTGGGCGCGGTGACGAGCGTTGTCGAAATTCGGCCCCCGTCCCTACCGTTCAAGGAACGCTCCGGCAAAGTTCGGCCAGTGTGTACGAAGGCCCATAGGTACACTTAGCATTTTTTATTCCACTTTGTATTTTCTATGGGTACTTTGTATTTTCTATGGGTACTTTGTATTTTCTATGGGTACTTTGTATTTTCTATGGGTACTTTGTATTTTCTATAGGTACTTTGTATTTTCTATGGGTACTTGTTTTTTTCTGTGGGTACTTTGTATTTTCTATGGGTACTTTGTATTTTCTATGGGTACTTTGTATTTTCTATGGGTACTTTGTATTTTCTATGGGTACTTTGTATTTTCTATGGGCCTGTTTAATGGTAGACCGAACCAAACAAAAAATAATAACCCAATGAAGGGCGCACAAAACGATAAATCGTACAAGACGATAAAAATACCGCTCTACCCGGCGAGATCACTGAGACCCCACCAGGTAAGCACACCGGAGTACCCGTTTTTAATTGGGGTATAACAAAATCAAAAAAAGAGTGAAAACTAGACAAGAGAGACAGGAGGTTTTTTAACTATTTTCTTTTTTTTTTCAACTTTTCGACGTGACAGAGACATAGACAAAGGAAGGGGAATAGAAAAAGGATGTGCCAAGCTACCCACGACAGGTTACTGTCCAAGTGCTCCCACCAACCCACTCCTGCCAACTTGACACATCAAAATAAAATAATGACATAAAAGACAGACATTTCACAACAAAAAACTGATACGAGTAGAAGGGAACGGGGGATTAAAACCGCAGGCGTAGTTTTCCCCCTACGACCTTCGCCCAACGTACTGAAGAGCACCACTGTGCTCGGAAAGCTGCCTCACCAAGGCGTACAAAGTCTAGCTTCAGTCTTGAGCGGAGGCACTCCTTGATGTACGGCACTATCTCAACGTGGGTTATAAACGTTTTGTCAAAGAGTGCCTCACATCTCGAGGACCAAATCCGTTTCCTCGCGATAGCGATGACGTAGATTATGACATCTCTCTTACACTTTGGCCAGGAGGTTGGCACAATACCGAAGATGACCATATGTTTATTGACAATATCCATCTCCTGATGAAGCCCTCCACCCATGTCCATGTGAGTAACACTTCGTTACAGGACCACATCACGTGGTCCATTGTTTCGAATCCATTGCAATTGTTCCTCGGACATGTGCCCGAGTGGATAAACCTCCACTTAGAGTACAGCAGAGCATTCGTCTTAAGGGCATGGTGGGCAACCAGCCACGCCGTGTCACCGGAGTACCTACAGACACGTCTGTGTGTACTTCGCGAAGTTTTTTTGGTGGCTGGCGAAGCGACATTCATTTTGCTTTGATGTGGATGCTCCCATTTTTATTATGGGCGGTATATTTCTGTTTACCATTCCAGGCAACTAAATTTATTTTGAACCTATTAAAACATAATATACTTTACACTTTAAGAAAATTTTGTTTGCTTTGCATGCAATGTTCCACACGTTTATTAATTAGGAGTATCAAATAGTGATTATTACATCCTGGCATAGATTATGTTAATGTAGACACAGGACCATACTATTTTCGGGGGTGCTAGGACATATTGTTCAGACTTCCGTCAACATTTCCGTAGCGATATATGGTAAATCACTTCCTCGCTGAATGTAAATTACTCCTTTGTATTAAAAAAAGCCCGTAATCTAAAGCGAGGGTTCATTGCCAATGTTGGGAAAAAATTGCATTGCGGTTTGCTGCCCTCCTACCAACCGCGAACGTTCATCACATGCAGTTTACGCAGGAAATGTGGACAATATGCCGTTTCAGTAAATAACCTGACATCTAAAATTGTTCATTTATGAAGTGCAAAAGCGTGAAACATAGGCCGTAAGCCATGGAGGTCGTTGACCTTTGTTGGGACGCCCCCCTCCCCACAAAAGTGCCAATTCATGTCACTACAGCACACATGTAGCTTACCACACGATTAGACGGTCAACCTAGAGTGTAATTTGAGTTTCTGTGAATATTTCAACAATTTTAGATGTCAGGTTATTTACTGAAACGGCATATTGTCCATATTTCCTGCGTAAACTGCATGTGATGAACGTTCGCGGTTGGTAGGAGGGCAGCAAACCGCAATGCAATTTTTTCCCAACATTGGCAATGAACCCTCGCTTTAGATTACGGGCTTTTTTTAATACAAAGGAGTAATTTACATTCAGCGAGGAAGTGATTTACCATATATCGCTACGGAAATGTTGACGGAAGTCTGAACAATATGTCCTAGCACCCCCGAAAATAGTATGGTCCTGTGTCCACATTAACATAATCTATGCCAGGATGTAATAATCACTATTTGATACTCCTAATTAATAAACGTGTGGAACATTGCATGCAAAGCAAACAAAATTTTCTTAAAGTGTAAAGTATATTATGTTTTAATAGGTTCAAAATAAATTTAGTTGCCTGGAATGGTAAACAGAAATATACCGCCCATAATAAAAATGGGAGCATCCACATCAAAGCAAAATGAATGTCGCTTCGCCAGCCACCAAAAAAACTTCGCAAAGTACACACAGACGTGTCTGTAGGTACTCCGGTATGCTTACCTGGTGGGGTCTCTGTGATCTCGCTGGGTAGAGCGGTATTTTTATCGTTTTGTACGATTTATCGTTTTGTGCGCCCTTCATTGGGTTACTATTTTTTGTTTGGTTCGGTCTACCATAAAAAAGGCCCATAGAAAATACAAAGTACCCATAGAAAATACAAAGTACCCATAGAAAATACAAAGTGGAATAAAAAATGCTAAGTGTACCTATGGGCCTTCCTAAGTGTGACCGGGCCTTAACTAAAACAGTCTTTAGGTGCCAAAGCAAACGGGTTGTTCTGACAAGACATTGGCCGTTATACTGAAATTGTAGAATTGACCAGTCGTACTGTTTGCGAAATATACTTATGTGATTATATATCAATTATATCTTTTTAATCATCTGTAACGGATACATGAAATATTAAGCAAGCCGTGATAGAATTGCTTTTGAATAGGTAAATGATTTGTTTTATATTATAAATGAATGTTACTTTTAAATATTTGTAATATAACCTGCAATTCAGCCGTTTCTCAGTCTGAATAA